GTCGCGGCAAATAAATGAGAATGTTTTTTTGTTTTAAAGATAATTTTAACACTATGATTTCTGTAACGTTTTACTTGAATATCAGTGAAATTATTTATTACTTATTGTATTAAGAAGTACCAGTTAAGATTTATCTGAAAGCCAGATGCAATTATCTAAAGAGCCACATCTGGCTCGCAAGCCATAGATTCCTAACCCGTGATCTAAACAGTTCATTCCATGTCTCTTTGAGTCGACCTGACTGTCAGGTAAGGTTAATTAAAATATCTCTAAGCAGAGATAGAATCAGGAAATGCAACAGCTGAACAGTTTATCATATACTACAGTATGTATGGTATTAAGGCCAAGGTTCAGTCTTTTTATTGTAGCAGAGGTTTCTTAGGGGACAAACCTTTTAAAAAACTTCAGTTGCTGGTTCGTGGCCTAACGTTTTTGCTCCCTGTGTGAAAGATTTTACACCAATCTTTCTGCTGCCACACATCCTCTTCCTGTTAAGTAAATAAAAGTGTTACTCGCACAACTTACTATATTACACCTGTCACTCGAATTACTGCTAACCGATCTCATCCTACTAGTACATAAACAACTGTTCATACTTTTGAACGCATGTGTGCTTGACTGCCCTATGTGCTTTAACCCCTGGCCCCTGAGGACAAATGAAATAATTCAATATAATTGAGTCCTGTTGCAAACCTTTTCATTCATAATGCCATGCCAGCGGCTACCTTATTACACAGCTGGATTTAACTCTCCAACCTCTTAGATCAGTGGTTCTTAACCTTGTTGGAGGTACTGAACCCCACCAGTTTTCATATGCGCATTCACAGAACCCTTCAGTGATGGCCAAGCGGGGGGCGTGTCATCACGAATCATATGAGTCGGGTGTGTCTTGTCCTCCCCATGTTAGGAGGTCCGCCATTCATTAATTAGTCGTCCCCCGAACCCGACTCACCGAACCCCTGGGGTTCGATTGAACCCAGGTTAAGAACCACTGTCTTAGATGTAAGGCAACCGTCCTGACCATGAATCTCGAACCTTTGTCTTTATTTGTGTACAAAGTATGACATTGAAATCTCAAACAATCTGTAGCTTGTTGTTTGTCCCACTCTGTGGTTTGTTGTTGTTGAGATGATAGGATTCTCACATATCTGTTGAACCTTCTCAGAGACATCAGCCACACCAGTTGATTTTAATCCAACTAATTAACTAACTTGCCAAGTGTCACACACACCCAAGGCTGTTACTGACCTGTACTTAGAAATGTCTGCATGTAACCTTCACAAGGAACAGCCAATACTACCAGATTCACTACCTTAGACTTGTCATCAGGAGGTGATCTGCACTAAAGCCATGGCCGAGAAATTACACTGCTCACTGCGTCACTTTTCTTAAAGTTTTGTATTCACATTGTTGTTCTTTGGTCTATGGAGGAAGTGTTTTGAAATACTCCCTAAACGTCACAAGGAAAGCACCCATGATACTTATTAAGTGTATTAAGTGTGTTTAGTATTAACACATGACACAGCTGTGGGGAGGTGCGTATGCGAGCGAGTTTCACTACATTGTTCATCTGACTGTGGCCTCTTTCAGTGCAACACAGGGCTGGGTAATTGTTCAAATGACCAAGTTGTAAGCATGATTCTAAAAAGAAATGCTTAGACACTGCAGTGCTCCATCTCTATAGTGGCAATTTGGCCTGAATGTAAAATGTACAGTGGATCATATCCCCCGGGATATGAGTTGAATCCGTTCTACAACAGCACTCATGTCTCGATCCACATCTCTATTAAAAATAACGAAAAACCAAAAGGAATTAAATGAATACGTTCCAGCCCCCCAGAAATATACTATTATTTTTGTCCCCATTTAAACATCAAAAACATATATAGAAACAAATGTATTGACAATATAAAATAATAATAATAAAGAAAACATTTTATATTATTGTTATAAGAATGGGTAAAATAACCCAGTGAGGGACAATGAGCGAGACAGAGTGGAGTGGAAAAAATGGAGCTGGGTTGAGCACTCGGAACTCCATGTTTCCTCGTATCACGAACAAAATCCTGCAAAAGTTGCAGACTAGTAACATGGTATACTCCTGTTTCGGGAAGGTTTGGGCAATTTACATTTGAATGTGGTTTTGATGTAAGATATGGAACTGTATCTCCATCTATCACCAGAATAAAACACATGCTTTGAAAAACAAATGCATTCAACTACAAACGGTAAAACAAATGAGAATATAATATAAATGTATAACGTAAAGAATATAATATTTTAGTGTTTTGGTAAGCTCATTTAACGATAACACTCATTTCCCTCATTTTACAATAATGATTTTCATTGTCTTCTGAACTATCGATACTACTTATTTACTACTTTTTTAAGTCCACTTCTGAGTTTAGAAAATTACACTAGTGATTGTAAAATTGTTTGTAAAATTGTTTAACACTGATAATGTTGCACATAATTAAACTGTGACCAACACCTAAAATGCAAAATACTCCTTTTGTTGCATTCAAAATAAATTATTTCATATTATATCAGTGAAATAGCCTTTAACTTTTTGGAATTTGCCACCTTTTCACATTTACATATTTTAAACTTGGTCAACCACATGGTGTCTAACATGGCTTTGCAATTACAGCAGCATATTGACTGTTTTTTTAATTTTGTTTTCATTTGTCTAATATTTCAGGTAAAAGGTTATACACTGGCCATAGACTTAAGCCTAGACACTGCGTTTTATTTAGGTTTTCATCACAACGATCTAGTTTATTAGAACTGATGCATCATTTCGCTACTGATAATTACATCATTTAAATCTTACCTTATTAAGAGCATATTTTTCTGATTTTAATAAATAGCATGACTTAAACTTTTTTTATTAAACCATTTATTTATTGTCTTTTATTTTTTGTTTATATTTTTGTTATGTTTTCCTGTCTTATATTTAGTCCAAATACTTACTTTGTACAAATGTTATTCAACATTATGTCTGTGTGAATATCAGTTATATCAAAACATATATCAACATATTTTATTATATAAGTTACTATGTAGTATATTATGAGTTATTAACCATTATTATTTAAGGACAGGCAAGGTATTTATTAAGGTAAGTCTTTTAAATCCCTGTTTTGGCCCCTGCCAAAGTATGTACATCTGTTACAGAATGGTTTATGAATGTAACTGTGAATCACCTGCATCCAATTTTCTAACTCTAATTATTATTTTAACTAAAACAAATGGTAATGTTTAAATGGTATAAATACATATCTACACATAATTTAAGCATACACACATTCAATATACACACACACACACACACACACATATATACGTTATATATAAATAATGTTAAAGAATTAAAGTTTATCATCTGATTGATCACAACTAAATGCTAATCAAAAATAAAAGTCAAGAGAAGTATACAGTAGAGTTGGTGGATTTTGATCATTTATACGTATCTACTGTACATGTTGGCTTGTACAGAGTGGTGAGAGTATTTATGTATTCTTGATCCTTTGTGGTTTAACATGTGCACATGGGGTTCATTTGAAAGTGAATTACTTGTCATGGTGACACAACACACCACTGCAAACAACGAAATGTTAAACCTGCGTTTAAGCCATCACCATAGTGAGCAGGTGTCAGCTCCTGTGTGCCTGTGGAGCAGTGTGTGGTGACGGTGCCAGCACAGTACAACTCTGTGGCACCTTGGCGTCACCTGTGGCCTTCTAGACCCAAGTCCACTTCCTTAAACCACTAATCCACTACTGATCCATTTGTGCATCTAGCGTATGTATATAAAAATATACTGGTTGATTAAACATTACAATCAGCAATCAAGGACCAATATAATAGACCCTAACTTTAAAGATAATAAAAACAACTTGGTGGCACAGTACTCAGTACTAGTTGCACTCATCCATGCCTGAGACATGGCGTGAAATTGTATAATCAGTAGTGAACTGGTATTATTTTTTTTTTTTTTTGCTCAGGAGGTAACTCTTGAGCAAAGTACTCTTGATTAAAACACGTTTCTGTGTAACTGTAAGCAAATAGTCTGGTCCAAAGTGGGATTATGGTCCAGAGTTGCCTGGACTTGCCTTTTCTTTGATAAGTGAACGTGAACATAAGAAGCCATTGAAGACAATAGTGACATAACAACCACCAAACCTTGTACTGCCAGTTTCTCTGTCTTGGTCTCATGACTTTGAACACACACACGAACACACGATAATTTACACGTAATCTCCTGTTGCCTGTTGTGCGTCCTGTGTTACCCCTTGCAACAAATGCACAATTGGACTTGAGATAACAAAAAAGTGTGGATGTTTTTTTATAGACGGCCAGTGACTTCAGCGGTTTTGTCAGTTGGTAAAGATAATAATAATACATTTTAATAATAAGTGCCTCGCAAGGCCACTTCACTATTCAGAGACCTTTGTCACAGGTGTGTGATACACAGTATTTACTTTTTTTTTTACACTTAAATTAAATAACAGACGTATTACTACATTACACTATTACCTTAAGTGTCAGGAATAGGAGAACGCTATGTTGTTTTTAGGAAAGCTGCCTTCGAATTGACATCAA